GCAGGTTGAGGCTGCGGTGGCTGGGAGCAGCCACTGCACTCCAGTGTGGGCGACAGAGTGAGACTCCAACTCAAAAAAAAAATTGAGAGAGAGAGAGAGAGAGAAGACTCACCTCCCCAAGGTGGGGAAGGGGGCCAAAACCAGGAAGCATGGCCATAGCCATAGCTCAAAGAGCACATGGCCACACCAGAGTCTAACAAGGCAATGGCCCAGGAGGTGACTCTTAAGCAGAGATTTGAATAATGAGAGGGGACTGTCACCATTCAAAGAGCCAGGGAACAGTGTTCCTGACAGAGGGACCAGCGGCGGCAAAGCTTGGTGTGTCCAAAGAGCAGGGGAACTGACTTTGTGGGAGAAAAGTAGGCAATGAAGTTGGCATGCCATAGAAAGGAGTTAGAAGTTCTAAGAAGTGCAAGTAGATATGAATGAATGAATGATGTTGGTGTGGCAGGAAGTACTAAATGCTCTTGCAGGATTTGTCATACCACCCTAAGACATAGTTTGTGCACACTACAGTATACACAAAAATATACCAGACAACCTCTTTTACCTGTATTATAAGATTTGTACTGTGGACAGAACTGTTTGAAGTCGACTTTGCTCCTTTCATGTTTGCTAAAGGTTTCCTAGTAGTAGAAACCAATGGAAGCTGGCTGATTAAGTCTCTTAGGAGAAGAATGAGTCTCAAAACCTTCTCCAGCATTTTAGAATAACCATCTCCAGGAGCCAAGTGGTCCATTAATTCTGAGGGCTTCTGATCTGTCCTTAAAACAGTTCCCAGCTCATCGGACTCAGCTGCCACCTTATTAGGAGGTTTAAGAGACAATGAACTTGGAAGAAACTGCGCTGCCTGCATTCTTGGACAACTCCCCTCTCCCCAGCGCATGTAACTTAGGAAGGTTAGGGTTGATGTGCTGTCATCTCACAGTGGGTGATGAAACTGGTCACACTGCGCCAAACTGGGGTCCCATAAAGAGACGTTTGGACCAATGGGCACTTTGGCATCTTTGCCTTCTGACTCTGAATGGGCTTTATTCGGTCACAGGGTGTCAGCCTGGGAATTTTCTGCTGCTTCTTCTCATTAGAGGGTGGGGCTGAAATTCATTCATGCCTAGCATATGTTACTTGAAGGGTCCGGAGATGAGGACGATAGATGCCTGCAGAAGAGAAGGGGTTCGATGGAGACAGGGTGAGAGCCTGGGGTGGCAGGCCTAAGTCACAGAAGCCTGGATGGGCTGGGGGCTCCGTGCCAGCCTCAACCTGCTGGACTCAGTCGTGCATTTTAAGCTTGTTCCTCATTCGCTGTGTGCTATTCTGAGAAGTCAAGTAACCTCTTTGCACTCTACCTAGTTCTCATCTATGCATGAGAAAGTTTGTATTAAAGCAATTGTTTGCAAACCATCTTTCAGCAGCAGCACCCCATTTTCAAAAAAAGTCTCCCTAGAAACGCTGGCATTTTGGGGTGCTAAGCATTCTTATTTAGGATCAGGTTCTGAATTTCCAAGTCTTGAGGCACCTCTGAGGGTCCTTTAGGAATTCTGATCCACTGGGTCTGGGCTTGGACCCAGCAACCTGTCATTTGAACAAGCTTCTGAGATAATTTTTGAGAGATCATACTTTGGGACTCTCTGCCCTAAGGTTCTCTGCAACATGGGTTAGGTGATCTGTAAGCTGCCTTCCTGTTCTCATAGCCTGCGAGTATATTAGTACATGATACAGATAAAGCTGACTGTGACATTGCTACTTAGGGGAGAAGAGGAAAAGGGATTAAATCAGAGGTCAAAAACGGACAACCCAGGCCAGGCACGGTGGCTCATGCCTATAATCCCAGCACCTTGGGAGGCCAGAGTGGGAGGATCGCCTGAGCCCAGGAGTTTGAGACCAGTCTGGCCATCATAGTGAGATCCTATCTCTACAAAAAAAATAAAAACATTAGCTTGTCATGGTGACATGCCCCTGTAGTCCTAACTACTCAGGAAACTGAGGTGGAAGGATCGCCTGAGCCCAGGAGTTCGAAGTTGCAGTGAGCTATAATTGTGTCACTGCGTTCCAGCCTGGACAACATATTTTATTTTTTTAATCAGAAAATGTGACAATTCTGAAAACTCATGTCCATGTGCCACACTTTGGCTGAAGCCAAATTATAGCCCTGTCCCTGTAAAGCAGAACTTTTTAATGTCTGATTTTCCATAGTCCTCACCAGTCCCTGTTGTATCACACCTCACCCACTTCATTTACATCACATGTGTGTAGATAGTTGAGTTTATGTCTGCTGCAACTTTTAGTCATAGCACCTGAGTTAGATAGGACAAAGGGCTGGGCCTGAAAATTCTCCACTAGACAGGTTGGAAAATTTCTGTCCTTCAAAAATGAGACAGGCTGGCTATTACCAGGCCATTGTGGCTATTACCTTGCTAAGCTATTGGTGTGGCCATGTGCTCTTTGAGCTATGGCCAGGCCATGTTTTCTTAAGCTTTGGCCCCCTCCCCTCCCTTGGGGAGGTGAATTCCCCCCCCACCTCTCTCCAATTTACTTTCTAAATAAACTACATTTTCTAATAACTCAATCAATCGGTAAAATGGGATAAGCTTAATAAGCCTCAGGTGGGCTTGGTATTGCACTTCTGGAGGCAGGAACTTGAATCCTAATGCCAAGGAGTCTATGATTTATGGAAGTAGGCTTGTTTGTTTGCTATTCGAGGACTTCATCATTAGCTGTCCTGTGCTCACCATTTCTCATAGGTGTACTGATGTGGGAAGTCTTCAGCGAAGGCAAAATCCCATATGAAAACCGAAGCAATTCAGAGGTGGTGGAAGACATCAGTACCGGGTTTCGGTTATACAAGCCCCGACTGGCCTCCTCACAGATTTACCAGATCATGAATCATTGCTGGAAAGAGGTCAGTAGAGGAAGTGGTTTCCCTGCATTGTAACATACAATTTCAGGGCCTGTCTCCTTCCCTAGTGAAAGAAACCCTCTCAGAAGGATAAGGCAGCATGGATAACTAAATTAGATTAGCAAAAACATAAGTTCCTGAGCCTGTCAACTGGATAGATTCCCATCCCTAACAGAGTTGACAGCAACCTAAAATATTACTTGATTTGCTACATGATGTCACAAGCCATAAGCCAAACTTCAGAAGGAGCATGAGGCAAGGCCTTTATCAATTCCCTCCTCGACTCTCTGAGAAGAGAAAAAAATCTGTAACACCACAAAGCCACTAAAAGTTACATGAAATTACTTTCACTACTTTTATCATCTCCAAAGAATTGTAGGTATTACATAAGAAATACAAAACAAAGTGTTCAGTCATCTCCTTGTGGTGATGTTGACTATTGTGGGTTTTTTAAATTGTTAATGATGTTTGTGCTGTTATTCAGGTAAGCTTGCTAGGCAACCTGGAGCAATCCTGCCTGTCCCCACTCAAGACCCCTACTAGAATGTGCTAGAAAATGACCAACAAATCCTTGCCCCAAGTCTCCCTTATCAACTTCTATGGTAAGACATCTCAGACCCAAAGACACTTAGCTTTGAAAATGTCCACTGAAGAATATTTTATTCACCCTTTTTAACATTTGTCCCAGATGTATGAACTAGAAAAAGATATTTAGCTTCTTTAAACCTCCATTTTCTCCTCAATAACATAGAATCAAAATGAGGTAACCTACTACATGTAGTTATTGTGACTATTTATCATATACATGTTAAAGCACTTAATGTCCTGAAACACAGCAAGAACTCATCAAATATGGCTGTAGATTTTGTGTTGGTTACATATGAAATGTCTGCCTCCTTTCTTTAGGGTTCATTATTAGGGTCATGTTGGAATTCTGATGTGCTTGTCTGATGAGCCACACAGTTATTGATCATCTTAGATGATTACTTCCTGGAAAGGTTTCCATGTTTAGCTAGTCTTCATCACTTTTTGTGAATTCCTCATATCATTGGCAGAGAGATACAACTGCACAGTTTCTACTTTTTTCTTTGTGAGCTGGAAGAGTCTTTAGAGATCATTCAGTCCAACTTTATCCTATTAGAGATGAAGACAATGAGGTTTCGAGGCGAAAGATTTTCCAAACTGGCTCTTGTCTTTTCATTTCTACTGTTCAATTTATATCCTAGAGAGAATGGGGTCATGGAGTTGGAAGACATCTTGGGGATCTTTGAAAGCCAAGGGCAGACCAAAGGATGCAGGGTTCTGGGCAGCCTCCCAGGCCTGCATGAACCACAGCATGTCCATGTCTCTCTATTTGATGTGTACAGATGCTGATGACAGTATAATTTTGTATTAAAAGAGAGTTCCATATCTCAAAAGTTCTGAAAAACCACTGATCTAGTCCAATCCCCTGATTGTATGGACAAGAAAGCTAAATCCCTGATACAGTAAGGAATTGGCCAAAGTCACCCAGGTGCCAGGTCTCTAGTCTATTAGGCTGCCCTTTTGTTGTTTCCTCACTTTTCTAGAATTGCAGTCCATCTGAGAATTTCAGTGCCCTAGGCCCTGTTTAAAAAGAAAACAGGCCAGGCTCGGTGGCTCAGCCTATAATCCCAGCACTTTGGAAGGCCGAGGCGAGAGGTTTGCTTGAGCCCACGGGTTCGAGACCCACCCGGGCAACTTGGCGAGACCTCATCTCTACAATAAATAAAAAATTAGCCAGGTGTGGTAGCGTGCGCCTGTGGTTCCAGCTACTTGGAAGGCTGAGGTGGAAGGATCGCTGGAGCCCAGCGGGTTGAGGCTGCGGTGGCCAGGAGCATGCCACTGCTCTCCAGCCTGGGTGACAGAGTGAGACTCCAACTCAAGAAAATACAAAATAAAATAAAATAAAGAAAACAGATCTCTATGGATCTGTTAACAATGGCTCATGTGATACCTTCCCATATTTTATTTGCTCCTTGATAAGGCATATGTTGATCCAACCCAAAGAGTTCATTCATTTGAACTTTTCAGGCACCCCTAAGATGATCAATTAGGGAGACTGGGATTTTGCTGATAGTTTAGAAGACTTTTTTGTACCCCTTAAATCTTCCTGTGTAGGTAGTGGGTTCATCTACATACACATAACACTGACTTTAAATCAAATAATCTCACCCATGTGTAAAATATTACATATTTTCCCTCTCTTGTCATAACACTCAAAGTCTATAAAAATAATACACTTGAAAGTCATGATAATGGGGTTCTTTCATTTTTAGTAGTTTCTTCGGGCACACTTCATCAATAAGGGTACCTGATCTCAAGCCAGGTGAAGTGGGGACCAAAGTGAGGCCCAAACTTTACCTGTACAATGACCATTTGTATATCTAACCCTGAATTGTACCCCACATCTTTAAAATTAAAATTTAAAAAAAGGGAAAAAAATCTTCTCTAATGGTTCTAGTAACAAATGAAGTGCCATTTTTTTGGTGGCCACACGCATTGCTTCAGTCTCTGGGAAAGAGTGATGTAGAAACATGATTGAAGCCAGGAAATGTTTTAATCCTACCACACAGTTATCCTACTTGGGGCAATCTATCCTAAGAAGGTGTTTTTTAAAAGGAGACAGTCCTATATCACGGACACTTATTTTTTCAGCACTTTCATTATACCTCGAAACAACTGAAATGTTGAACCATAGATAATAGTCAAGTTCATCCATTTTTTCACGTACATAAAGTAGACAAGATGTCCCTGCAGTGAAATGACTCAGCCATTAAAAAATGGTATATGTGAAAAATAATGACTTAGAAGGACATGTGAATATATGGAACTACATTTATACAAAAGGATGGAAAAAGTAGAATACAAAATCGGCACGCATTAAGATTTATATAACTACATGAAAGTGATGTCTGCACGAGAGAGACCAGTGCTCACAGAGACAGTAGATTGATGTCTTTAGACAAAATAGTTATAGAGAACATTTTGAATGTAATTGTTCCATTAATTTTTTTATCAGTATGGGAATCTGAAAGTCTGATGCTGTCTTTTGAAGTTAATCAAAGTTGATTTAACAAATTCTAGCCAGGCTCAGTGGGGATTGCATCTCAGGTGACCCATTCTTCGGATAGTGAACATTGTACCCAATAGGTTATTTCTGTATCCTCACCCCAATTCTCACCTGCACCCTTATTGGTGTCCCCAGTGTCTATTATTTCCATCTTTGTGACCATAGCTCCCGCATATGAGTGAGAACATGCATGGCATGTTTCTGAGTCAGTTCATTTAAAATGATCTCCAGCTCCATCCATGTTGCTGCAAAGGACATGACTTTATTCTTTTTTTATGACTGCATAGTATTCCATGGTGTGTAAATACATTATTATTAACTAAGGTCTATAGCTAACATTAAGGTTCACTCTTTGTGCTATAGAGTTCCATGGGTTTTGACAAATGCATAATGTAATGTGTCCACCCTTATTGTAAAGAATAGTTTCACTGCCATAAAAATCCCCTGTTCTTCTATTTATCACTCGCCTATCCCTGAAACACTGGCAACCACTGACCTCTTATACTGTTTCCCTAGTGTTGCCTTTTCTAGAATGTCCTACCATTGGAATCATACGCCATGTGTAGCCTTTTCAGGTTGGCTTCTTTTACTTAGTAATATGCATTTAAGTTTCCACCATGTCTTTTGGAGGCTTGATAGATCATTTCTTTTTATCACTAAATAATATTCCATTGTATGGATATACCATAGTTGTTTATCTATTTACCTATTGAAAATCTTGGTTGCTTTCAGTTTTTAACAATCATGAATAAAGCTACTATAAATGTTTATACACAGGTTTTTTTTAACGCACATAAATTTTCAACTCCATTGGGCAAATGCCTGGGAGTGTGATTGCTGGATCAGATGGTAAGACTATGTTTAACTTTGTAAGAAACTGCCAGAATGTCTTCCAGAGTCACTGTACTATTTTGCATTCCCACCAGCAATGAGAGATCCTCCTCAGCACTTGTCGTTTGGATTTCATTGGCTTCAACAGAAGTGTAGTGATACTTAATTGAAGTTTTAATTTGCATTTTCCTAATGACATATGATGTTGAGCATACTTTTATATGCTTATTTGCCATCTGTATACCTTCTTGCTAATATCTGTTCAGATCTTTTGCCCATTTTTCAATTTTTAAAAAATTGTTGAGTTTTAAGAGTTCTTTGTATATTTCGAACAAAGAACAAAAGTTCTTTGTCAGATATGTGTTTTGCAAATATTTTCTCCTAATCTGTGGCTTGTCTTCTCATTCTTTTGACAGTGTTTTCATAGAGAAGACCTTTTTAATTTTAACAAAGTCCAACATCAATTTATTTATTCATGAATTGTGCAGTTGGTGTATTTAAAAACTCATTGTCATATCTAATGTCATTCAGATTTTCTCCTGTGTTATCACAAGAACAATTTATAGTTTTGCTTTTAACATTTAAGTCTATGATCCAATTTGAGTGAATTTTTTTGAAAGATGTAACTGGAGTCATTGTTTTTATATGATGTCCAATGATTCCAGCACTGTCTGTTGAAAAGACTACCCTTTCTTCTTTGCTCCTTTGTTAAAGATCAGTTTACTATATTTAAATGGGTCTATGTTTGGGCTCTAGTCTGGTCCATTGACCTGTTTGTTTATTCTTTCACCAATACTGCAGTTTCTTTTTCTTTTCTTTTTTTTTAATTTTTAATTTTAAAGATGTAGGGTACAATTCAGGTATGTAAATGTTCATTACGCAGGTACCCTTGTTGATGAGGTGTGCCCTCCCTCCCCTGACAGTTTTCCTCGCTGCCACCCTCCCCCCCAATCTCCTGGCAGTTTCCCACGACTGCCAATCCCTTTCTTATAATTACTGCAGTTTCATTATTACTACAGCTTTAGAGTAAGTCCTGAAGTCAGGTAAGGTCAGTCTTATAGCTTTGTTCTTCTTTATTATTGTATTAGCTCTCTGGTTCCTTTGGCCCCACCATTTAAACTTTAGAGTCAGTTTTTTTGTTTGTTTGTTTGTCTGTTCTGTCACCCAGGCTGGAGTGCAGTGGTGCAGTCATAGCTCACTGCAGCCTTGAACTCCTGGGCTCAAGTGATCCTGCTGCCTCAGTCTCCCAATTAGCTGGGACTACAGGTACATGCCACTGTGCCTGCCTTTTTTTTTTTTTTTTTTTTAATAGAGATGAGATCTTGCTATGTTGCCTAGGCTGGTCTCAAACTTCTGGTCTCCAGCAATCCTCCCACCTTAGCCTTCCAAAGTGCTAGAATTACAAGTATAAGCCACCACATCTGATTTAGAGTCACTTTTCAATAGTCATAACATAACTTGCTGAGATTTTGATTAGGATTGTGTTAAATCTGTAGATCAAGTTGGGAAGAACTGACATCTTAACACTGTAGAGTCTTCCTACCCATGAACATAGAATATCTTTCCATTCATTTAAATTGTCTTTCATTTATTTTTTACTTTATTTACTTATTTATTTTTAGAGACAGAGTCTAGCTCTGCCATCCAGGTTGGAATGCAGAGGCACAATCATAACTCATTGCAGCTTCGAACTCCTAGCTTCAAGTGATCCTCCCACCTCAGCCTCTGAAGTAGCTGGGACTACAGGCACACACCACCATGCCCAGCTAATTAATTTTTTGAGGAGACAGAGTCTTGCTATGTTGCCCAGGCTGGTATAGCTCCTGGCTTCAAGTGATCCTCCCACTTTGGCCTTCCAAAGTGCAGGCATGAGCCACCACTCCTGCCCCTGATTTCTTTTATTAGAATTTTCCATTTTTCCTCAGATAGAGCCTACGTGTATTTTGTGAGATTTATGCCTAAATATTTTAATTCTGGGTCGTTCTTTGGCATTACTTTTATGGTGCATTTTTGTACAAGATTTCCTTAATTCTAAGATAATATTATAGGTAGATACTACCATTATCCCCTTTTTACAAGTGACAAAACTGAGATTCAAAGAAATTAAGTAACTGCTCAATGTCACATAGTGATCAAGCTGAGATATAAAACTGGGCCATCTGATTCCAGAATACCTGTTGTTAACAACTAGGACATTCCCTATGGAATATAATCTATAGAAAGCATATTTTAAAATCAGCATACTGCTGTTGGATCTTGGTTTGCTTCGGATTTACCTTCAACACGCAAGTACGAGGAACTCACAGAATTCTTTTATTCTCTCTCCAGAGACCAGAAGACCGGCCCGCTTTCTCTAGACTGTTGGGTCAACTGGCTGAAATCGCGGAATCAGGACTTTAGTAGAGACTCAGCGCCAGGCCACAGGCTGTAGTTCCCGAAGGGAGGAAGGATGCTCTCCTCCTTCTCCGGAGCATTAGAAGCTGCCACCAGCCTAGGACACTCCAGAGGCAGCCTGGCCTGCGGTGCCAGTCCCTGAGACCGCCATAGAAGCAGCGTCCTGACCCAGGCTGGCAGCCAGGCCACAGGCAGGAGTGTCAGCCACTGAGCTGGGAGCCGGGCCGGAAAAGAGACGATGTCTCTGCCCTCTCTCTGCCTCTTGTCACATGTGCACACGCCTCAACCTGACAGCTTTCAGGCAACATTTCTTGCACTTCCTAGCAATAGAGAGAGGCATAGGTAGGACCCCAGATTGTTTTTATTATTATTTTAAAACATGGATCTGAAGTTTATGGTTCAAGGAACTTTTTATTTGACCCAACAACAGAGTATCACAGGATATGGCGGCCAGGGGAACAAGGAGCACGACTCTTTTTCTAAGAAAACTGTTGAGTTGCTAAGGTCAGAAAGAGTGTGCATTGTTGCTCAGATGCTGTTGGCCACAGCTTCCTGCTGTAGAGGTTGCAGGAGCAGTCGCTCACACTGGAAGCTGGGTATTCTGAGAAGCAGCTTTGTGAGGTTTTACAGAGTACACCGCCATTTCCTCCTTCAGGGGAGCTGGCGGGCTCGCCTGGATAGACTGGAGTGAGCTAATCAGATCCTGTCGCGCTGGAGCATTGAGTATCTGATGTCTGGACAGGAACAAGAGGGCATTTGACGGTGGGGAACTTCGTGGTACCAAAAGAGGCCTCGGGTTCGTTCTACCACTCCGAGGCTTACCTTTTGTGCCGGGCCACGCAGGTGACTGTGCTGCCTCTCCTGCCCAGATCGCTTCCGTCTGCATCCAGGGAATGCGGATTCCATCATCCTTTCTTCCAGCCTCTGGGAATCACCGCCCCCCGCCCCCTCCCCGCACTATCCCACCCTCATCAACAGAGGGCAGCATTGTGTTGGGCTTCGTGGCCTTGCAGAGAAGTTGAAGCTTGTTCAGGCCCTAGGGTTTAGCAATTTTAAGGTTAAGACGTCAAGGCTCCCAGAATTCTAGGAGGGGAATACAGAGCCTGCTCTTGTTCAAACCATCTGGGCGGAAACTGAGTCAGGCACCAACTGAGGCGCTTCCAAGATGCACACTGTGAATCGAGCACATCTGTAAGCAAAGTGAGTGAATGTGTACTGAGCTATGAGCCTTTCTTACTGTCATGAGACAGTATCATCATTCCCATTTCACAGATAATAGAATGGAGGCTTTCAAAAGCCAAGACACCTGCCCAGAGTGACAGAACTAGGAGCTGGGATGCTAGCCCACATCTGTGTGACTCCATTGCCCAGATGCTTTGTTCCTTTTCAACACTGCCCCCTACTGAGGATGACAGGAATTGCAGAGGAGATGACTGCAGAGGGGAAAGAAAACCATCAAACAAGTCAATGTCGAAACACCAGTGAATAATGTTGCTCCTGTACAGTGAATAATGTTGCTCCTGTACACTGTGGTTAGTGGTGCGGCCCTCCAACTTGGAGTAAAACCTTCTTCTTCTTCATCTGTGTCCTCACCTTGGTCATAACTAATGACTTTAGAGTTAGTCAGGTAATGAGCCCTTTAATTCTTCCAACCTCCAGAGTCATGTTGCATGAAGCCATTTATAGAAGAGCTTCAAAGCAGCTTTAAAAGAGTCTCCTGCAGAAGATTGAATGCCATCTTTAATTATCATTCCAACACTTCATGGGGAGAGATATTCCCTGGTGTAAGAAAGGGTGGTGTTGCAATGAGCTCTTTCTGAATCACGTGACATTTTGACTGACTTGAGATTCAGAGGCAGCACTTTTAACGATAATTACCACGAAACAGAGAGCCTCAAGATAAAACTCTGTCATTCAGTAGATGATCATACTCAACTTATCCAAAATTATCCCTGTTTACTTTTTAGCATTTTGTACCTTCTCTTTGAAACCCTTAATTAGAGATGACTTCTGGAACATTCCACCTAGAAGGAAAACATTGGAATTGACTGATTTTGTGGTTTGGTTTAGAAAATTTCCCTCTGCCTGGTATCATCTCTTTAAAGCTCATGTTAAAGAGCTTTAATATGGGGGCCTTAACTGAACATATGTAGGTATTTTACCTTCCATGGTCCTCTCCTGCAAAATGGGCTTTCTGCCTGACTTTTTTCCTTTTACATTTTGTAAATGGTGCCCTATGTTCACAGAGAATTCCTTCATACGAAGTTTTGATTCCAGTTGCATTTTGTATATTTTGCATTTTGCACCTTTTGAGATATGTATTTATATTTGTATAAGATGAATATTTATTAGTGTACAGTCACTGCCAGTGTTTAAAGTGAAAATGTTACAAATATCTGTTATCCTTCGTAGTGCATACCAAGTTAGAAGTTGAGTATAGCAAATAAACCTATGTTTTAGTAACATAGGTTTATTTCATCAGTCCCCAAACTTTTTGGCCTCAGGGACTGGTTTTGTGGAAGACGATTTTTCCACAGACCATGGTGGGGAGGGGACATGGAGGAGGGATGGTTACAGGATGATTCAAGTACATTACATTTGTGTGCTTTGTTTATATTATTACTACATTGTACTATATAATGAAATAATTATACAACTCACCACAATGCAGGATCAGTGGAAGCCCTGAGCTTGTTTTCCTGCAACTAGACAGTCCCATCTGGGAGTCATGGGAGACAGTAACACCCGAAGTCTATTGCTTATGTCCAGTCTACTCCGTAAACTCATTCTGGTTGCTGTCACTGCAGAAAACCCTGTTTCATGAAGAGACAGTATGTTGGAAATGGAAGCAGGCTTTTCAGTGCTGATCTGACAGGAAGCAGGGCTCAGGCAGTAATGCAAGCAATGGAAAATGGCTGTAAATACAGATGAAACTTTGCTCACTCACCCGCTGCTCACCTCCTGCTGTGACCCCAATTCTTAACTGGCCATGGGCCAGCCCTGAGAGTTGGGGATCCCTGGTGTATTTGACCTGGCGGTTTGTATATGGCACACTCCCAAAACTTTTCCTTAAGTAAACATGGTTACATGGTTTCATCTTCTACAGACAAGTAAAGACATCATTCAACAATAAATATCAAACACTTCCTATATGTCAAACACTTAGCACAGATATTCTCATGGAAACAGAGATGAAAAAGGCACAGTCTACTTTCTAAAAATTCCTAGTCTGGTTGAGAAGGCAGACATAGAAACAAGTAAAATTATAGTACAGCAATTAGACAACAAAAGCTCCAAACAAAGAAGAGAAGGCCCCAGAAAAAGTGATGGAATCTATCAGGGGAACAATGACATCAAGGGAAGCTTCTAAGAGCATTGTACTTAAAGTGTGGTCCTTGGACCCGTAGCAAGTTCATCGCTAGCTTGTGAGAAAAGCAAATTCTCAGGCTTCCTCCTCACTGAACAAGAATCTGCATTTTAACGCAATCCACAGCTGGTAATATGCACATTAAAGTTTGAGAAGCACTATCATAGAGAACATAAGGTCCAACTCAACTGAGAAGATAGATTATGGTTTTTAATCTTTTTTTCTTTTTCTTTTTTTTTTTTTTTTTAGTAGGAGTCTCACTCTGTAACCCAGGCTGGAGGGCAGTGGCACACTCCCAGCCACCGCAGCCTCAACCTGCTGGGCTCAGGTGATCCTCCCACCTCAGCCTTTCAAGTAGCTGGAACTATAGTCATACACCACCACATCCAGCTAATTAGGATTATGTTTTTTTAGGCATTCAAGTGGGTGGAAATAAGAAATACTTTCCAGGTAGAGAGAACAGAATGTAGTGGGAAGCCATTATCACTTCACTGTTACTGGGGAATAGCGTGTGTGTGTGTGTGTGTGTGTGTGTGTGTGTGTGTGTGTGTGTATGCACAAGTATGTTTTCTCAACAAGGGAAAGGATAATAGAAGGGAAAGGCAAATGGAAACTGAGACTGTAAGTCCAGACAAGAACCATATTTTAAATGACCGAGAAGTTGACATTTTACTCTGTAGGTAGGAAAAATGTCATTGTATGGCGAGAGAAGATTAAATTTGCATTTAAAAATATATTCTGGGCCGGGCGCGATGGCTTAGGCCTGTAATGCCAGTACTTTGGGAGGCCAAGGTGAGGGGATTGCCTGAACCCACGGGTTCGAGACTTTGTCTCTACAATAAATAATTAAATAAAATTAGCCGGGTGTAGTAGCGCGCACCTGTAGTTCCGGCTACTTGGAAGGCGGAAGAATCGCCTGAGCCCAGCAGGTCGACGCTGGGGTGACCATGAGCATGCTTGGGTGACAGAATGAGACTCCAACTCAAAAAATAAAAAAATAAAAATATTCTCTCGCTGCGGCATGGCAAGTGGATCTGAGAAAGGCAAAGCTGATGGCAGAGAAACCAATTTAAAGATGATTTTTGCCTTGTTCACAGTACCAGATTATTGTTCCCACTCATTCACTGTCATCTGCTGTGTGGGTGACATATGGAAATTGTATTTCAGAGTTCTCACTCACTGTTGGGCAAAAATAAATAGCTTTTCCCCTCTGTCTTAAAATCACAATGACATCAAGGCTGGGTTGTCATAATTCTTGTGTGTTGAGCGCTCTTTGCCCTTCAGCCCACCAAATGCCCACGTCCAGTGCCGGAGCCAGTTCAGGCACCAGTGGGCCCCCAGGTGGGGATGAAAAAGCCTGTAGCTTCCATGAGATCCTTTCTAGGGCTCCCCTCTCGGCTTGAATCCCACTGGCATGGAACCCACGTGAGAAACGTCTAAAGCGAGTTGAATGAACAGATCTGCTCCTCAGAGGATTTTTCCTGCAGACCCTACTCTCTCTGGCATCTCCCAATGCACAGGTCCACCCTTCTGAGGAAGACACAGTCATACCCACTCAGTCAAATGGAGCATGTGTGTGTTTACAGGTGCAGAGGGAGCTACAGATTCCCTAGCTAGAGGGTTCAAGAAGGGGATAGATCAGGAAGAGAAGGTTGGGGTAGACACAGTAAGCACATAAAGATGGACTGGGGTCTTTTAGGCAGGTGAGTGGGCAGATATAAGAGAAATCCTTTCCAGGTAGAGAGAACAGAATGTATTGGGAAGCTATTATCAGTTCACTAATGCTGGAGAGAGAGAGAGTTTTTTCTCAACAAAGTTAAGGATAATAGAATGAGTAGACAAATTGAAACCAGACTGTAAGTTCAGGCAAGGACCACATTTTAAATGACCAAGACTTTGACATTTTACTCTGTAGGTAGAAAAGATGTCATTGCACAGGGAGAGAAGGTCAAATTTGCATTTAAAAATATATTCTGGCAAATGTTTTTACTTTAGAATACATATTAACTTGTGGTGGCTTTAGGGAAGTGCTGGAACTTTGGTTCACCCAAGCCCATTCTCCAGAGCCACCCTTGGTGCCAGCACTAGGTGCATGTGTATG